TATTATTAAATTAAAAATTCTAAATAATATTTTATAAAATATAAAAACAATCAAATAATTTTTTGTGCAAATGAAATTATTAAATCAATATTGTAGGTGGAAAACATGAAACACTGTTAAAAAATTGAAACATAAATTACATAAGTTTAAAAAAAGTATCGATCCTTTTTATAAAAAGTATGGACACTTTCAATATAATAGGTAAACATATGATGTAATAGGTAGCCCTTATATAATGTAATAGGTATCGTTTATATAATGTAATAGGTATCTATCTCGCATGTGAGTACTTTATTCCAACCATGTGACAAGTGTGACAACTCCATCAACTCACAACTCAGCTTTGAACTCAATCAATATTGTCTTTTAGCTTGATGGTTCATAAAGCATGTTACTTGAACAGTATGAATCAATTATGCAATTTTCATGTTCAATTTAACACTGCATTTCAAATTCATTTCATATGTAATTGGAGTTTGAATTTAAATTTCAATTTGAGTTTGAATTTCAATATATATTTCGGCTCCACTATAAATATTAGCCCAAGCCAATATGCATGTTATCATTGATTATTCCTAATTTCCATTATTTTTTTTCCAACGTATAAACGCGAGGGAAATCCCGACCATTTTATTTTTTGGTCAACTTTAAAGCGTCAGAAACGTTTCGGGCGTATGATCTGGGTGGTATACAAGAAATGTAACAAATAGCAACTAAAATCATAAGTTGAGTACCACCCAAATCATAAGTCTGAAATACTTCCGATGCTCATCAAAATCCAAAGCTCATATGGTGCCAAGCAAAAGGAAATCAAAATCCAAATCTCATATGATGCCAAGCAATAGGTAGTGGTTATATTGTAAAGTGTCTATCCTTTTTATAAAAGTGTCCATACTTTTTTCACTGTGGAAAACATTAATTTAAGGTTATCTTTTGAGTGAGTTTTAAGATATTAATTTAGTAATTATAGGCGTCTAATGATTTATTTTTTACGTTACGGTATATATTATTATTAAATTAAAAATTCTAAATAATATTTTATAAAATATCAAAACAATCAAATAATTTTTTGTGCAAATGAAATTATTAAATCAATATTGTAGGTGGAAAACATGAAACACTGTTAAAGTATCGATCCTTTTTATAAAAAGTATGGACACTTTCAATATAATATAATGTAATAGGTAAATTTGCAATGCTATCGGTATAAATATACCGGTTTACTTATAAAATAGGTAAATATAAGCGCTACCTATTACATTATATAAGCGCTACCTAGTATGTTATTGTACTTTATAATATTTCCGGTTAAATAATATAACATAACCGGTCTAAATTTTAACCGGTCACTTGTTTAACCGGTCACGCCGTATATTAACCGTTTTTTAGGCGCCGCACCGCAGAACGACCCATCAGACTTAGAGATTGCATAGTACATATTAAAAAAGTAGTACACTTGCAAAAGAAATTCAACAGGTCCTACCATTCACCTCGTAAAAGAAAATAAACAGAATGCAATTAAAACAAATATGTTGAGATATCAACCACCAGCATGCTAATCCACCTGCTAAAGGGCTAAAGGCCTTATCAAAGGTACTTGTAGGCAACATTACCATAGGTAGGAAAAAGAAAATCTAATGCTAAAAGCCAGAAATAGGACATATCTGATGAAGGAAAGAATAAATTGACCTTCTTATCTAGTCGCCAGTTAGTTGGGTGCCTCCAACAAATTGCTTTCCCTGGTTTGTCCTTCAAATGAATCACTGCATCCGACCATGGGGAGCATTTATCATGGGATGCCATCTACAACATAAACATCGCCATTGTAATCTCTGTCTGCAAACGAAGCATACCTATCCATTGAAAAAGCCAAGTAGATAAGCAAACTGAAAGTAATAATCATGAGCATGTTTCAGAAAAGACATCTGCAATCTTCACATATATCACAATCATCACATATATCACAATCATTACCAAGAAATAATAACAAAAATGAGGGGTCAGAACTTGAAACTTTTTGGATACCAAGTCAAACCTAATACAAGGTGACTTAAATTTCTGCAAAGGACATCTCAAATTATATCTTTACCAAGACATTTGAGCAATAAGCCCAACTTATTATAGCATAAGATTATTTTAACCAGTGTTGTAAGAACAGAACTAGACCAGCCAGTTGAAATGAGAACAAGTAGACCATCTGGTCCAGAATATACCATCCAACCAAAAACCTTCAAACCGGCTAAGAACCAGTTCAACTGGCAAAATTTAAGTAAAAACCGGAAAATCACTTTTTAACTTATTTTTTAAATTTCTTTTAGTGAAAAGATTGTTGTATCTGATGAGATTTGGACATTTAATCCTTTAACCTATATTAAAATTGATACCATTTTAGTAAATACAGATTTTTATTAAATATCTGTTATTTAATACTTATTATTAAAATTGCATATGTAAAATTTGAATAAACATTTTAGTTAGATCAGTTCATTGATTTGACCTCCAGCCCAATTTTTGAAAATATTGATTTTAACATCATAAAATCTAGATTTTAGGAAGGAAAGTACTCATTCAAAAGAAATCGACACATCTTGGTAATCATCACTAGGGGAAAAAGAAACAGGCGGACTTTTATCAAACAACAATAACATAGATTAAGTACTAAGACAGATGTAAAGGTAAATGCACAGAACCAAAACCTAAACCATGAAAAAAAAAAGTTGTACCAGTACTCCCATCCTGGCAAAAAAAAAACTATAATTTGCAAATGCGCAAACCTATGCATGTGCATATCTAGGAATATCTACCCACCACCCTTTTCCCCTCTCTACTATGCAAATGACCAACCAAAGAACAAGAGCAAGAATGCAAAAAGTAAATTAGTAGATTCAGATATTACATGCTGTGGACACTGTTTTTTTTTTTATTGGACATCCTAAGACTTTCTTCAGCACATGTTTTGTGATAAACTCCTTGACAAACACGAACTGTACATAGGACCTCCTCCCCTGGATAGATATGCTTATGGCAATCGAGACATTCAACCTGAGATTAAATTTCAAAATGAAAAAAAAGTAAACAAATAGTCAAATATCAACAAGCTTATAATCTTGAGGATATTAGATTCACAATATGAAAACATATGTACACATTAAAGCACAATCATCATTTGTGAAAATGTGGGGGTGAATGGTTAAGACAGACACTTAGAATTGTAGCGATATCTTAAACTAGATTTTATATAACAATTATCTAATTAAATTAAAAAAAACATAAACAAACAAATCCCACACTACACAATTTTTTAAGAAATGAACGTGACCTGTGTAATTGAACTGCCGATTTCTCCAAGCAATAAAATGTAAATACAAGAACAACTTATTGTCGATCCAGCTCAGTTGATAGAGCTCGTGGATCGAATCCCACGGTGGGCTATTCATAATTGTGGAAGTCTTCCACGGGCCTACTACCCTACCTCCCTTACCCCCGAGAGTAGGATGAGCAAATTTTTTTATTAATTGATTCATGTACCTTAATACATTTGAACTGCCAATTCCAATACACCAGCTGATTGATTGTCAAGGAAAATAAAGAATCAACAAAGAAGAAAGATCCGTACCAATCTCTTAGCCCCTAGAAGAAATGGAAGAAAATAACAAGACTGGGGGAGACCAGATTCCATCTTCCTCTGAACCCAATCTCTCAAATAATCCTCCAGTACCTTACCATTAGGCCCCTTCTTCACTTTCTTCAAAACTTTAATTCCATTACAATTGCAGGCCACGCGTTTTTGGACCAAACTCTGGTCCCACTTGCCGTTTACAGCTACGGTTTTGAGAGTGGCAGCGTCAAAAGCATCGAGAGAATCGGTAGAGTCAACAGAAAGAGGCCTCAAGTTAGGGCAATGAGATAGAGAGAGAGAGATGAAGACTGAGAAAGATATCCAAGGTCCGGCATCTTTCAGTAAAAAGAATATTTTAAAAAAAAAGTTCAAGAAAATGAAAACCCTGGATTTTTATGATAGGGGAATAAAGAAAGGGGAAAATTAAAATTTGGGCGGGAAAAGTAATTTAGAAAAGGGGAGAAACAATGAAATGGGAAAAGCAGTACCCTATGATATGACGGATTTACGAGACTGCCAAATTTGGATTTTTTGTATTGTATTAAATTTCTAAAACAAAATGTCTTTTTTAATTGTCCTTCCTGTCCTCAAATTTCGTTTTAGTAATGCGGATTGACTCAAATTATATATCTAATTTTAATAAGTGAATATCTTAACATAGATTTATATATATATATATATATATATATATAAAAGGATTTGAACTTTATTGTTTAAAGTAAAATATTTTAATTTGAAGTATATTTTTATTAAAAAAAATCAAATTTTTAGTATAAACTAAATATTTTAGATTGAAAATTTGAAGATTTTTAATAATATCAACTAATATTTTAAACACTTCTAAATCCTTATTTAATTCTAAAATAAAAAATAATTTTCTTTTAATTTATTAAACATTTTAAATTTTTTCCGACAAACTAATTGTCATTAATTTTTAGGATAAATTATGTATTTAGTACCTAAATTATCGATTTTAGTTTGTTCTAACACCTAAACTTTCAAAAAAAATTAAAATCATACATAATATTTAATTTTCATCTAATTTTAGTACTCGCCATTAAAATTAGTGACTAAACTACAAGTTTTGGTATATTTTAGTACCTAAACTTTCAAAAAAAATTCAAAACTTAATGTTAAATTTTGAATGGGTTTCAAAATAAAACGTAAAAATAAATTTTTAACAGCAATGTACTAAAATGAAACAAAAATTAAATTTTAGGTATGATTTAAAAAAAATGAAAATTTATGTATTAAAATAGGCCAAAATTGATAGTTCAGGTACTAAGTGTATAATTTACCCTATTTTTTACTATAACTTCATCCCATGAAAATTTAAGTAAAAGATTTTTTGAAAAAAAACACATGTCATAGATGCACATTTATTTCATGAAATTACATAACATATAATTATTATTAAAATACTTTCGATAATCAACCCCAACTAAATATCTAGTTCTGAACCTACTCCCGAGTCGATCCCTTGAACAGTTGGAAAATAGCGATGATCTCATTCATGAATCATCGACCTCGACATTTTGCACAAAACTAGAGCAGCTTCCGCTTACAAGAAAGCATATAGACCACATTCAATTTGACTAAACTCATAAACTGTACCTTCTGCATTCCCCCATATCATATTTGATCCATCAAGAGGTTGTTTTGGGTTCCATGCCTAACTTCCCATGAAGGCAGCATTGTGGGTTCCATGCCTAACTTCCCATGAAGGCAGCATTGTGAGACCCTCTCAGAGCCAAAAACGGCTGCCACTTGCTGGGTGGGGTGATGCAAGTATCACTGAGGCACAAGCTCTTACAGCAGGTATTCAATTAGCAGTCGAATCGAATGAGCTCCTCGAGTAATTGTCAGAATTGATTCTATTAATCTTGTGCACTACTTAGTGCATCGTCGCCTTGATCTACCTGGTAGAAGCAAAACGGCTGCTGGATGACAACACCCACATCCGAATCCATTATGTCAGCCGCACGGTCAATGCATTTTTGGCTAATACAATAAAGTCCTTCAAAAGAAAAGAAAAACTTTAAAATTCTCCTCACACTGTTATTCCTAAATTTTGATTCAATGTCATCCATCCTTTCTTTCAGCATTACCTCGCATGACATATTGTGCAAATATGCGTTACCACCCATCAGCTCTTAGTGATGCTTTATAGAGGCCATATGTGAAGATAAGCACTTGTTCATGACCAAAGTTCAGCTGCACTAGAAAGATCCACTTCAGCTGAAGAGGGGCAGCCTACTTGTATTCTTTGTGTTGTTTGCATACTTTTGATTTTGTGTTTTTTTTCAATAGCTTGAGAAATAAGAAATCCATCCGAAAAACATATTCAATCCGTGACTAGTTTCCTTGTTCACCAACAAGGAATACCAAACTATCAAATATATAAACAATCACATTTTACAATTTCACATATCTAAACTTCACAGTATCTGCACATTGAATCCCTTACTATATATAAGTGAAAACAAATGCTAAACTTCTGAATGCAAGAGTCATCAATTAGTTCGAGAAACTTATTGAAATACCTCAATCGCAGCCATGGAAGAACGGGCGTATTTGTGCAGCAAGTGCAACAACCATGATGAAAGTTGATACATCCTCTTATACATCTAAATCATTTCCAAACATTTAGTTCAGCAATGCCTCAGGTACCCCACCACCTTCAAGCCTTATCCTGATCCCAGATATGTAAGAAATGACCCTTACTTTTAGCTTCATAAGAGTTCACTTGCGCCTTAAACAAAGGAATGGATACAATACAAACATATATATGTGCATATACTAGTTCATTACCGATGAACTCGATAAAAAATGTGAAACGATATTCTTAAATTGCTGTGAGTATATTCTCCACATTCTTGAGGTAAAACCACATGGTATCAACAAGAAAATAGCTAAGAACCTGCTGAAGTCTAACCTATCACCATAAAGGTCTCTGTCATAAACCTTGCATCATCGATTACTCGGGCACCCTTTCTATTTCTGTTCATCGTCACTTTACCAATAGAACAATGTGAAACAAATCATTTCAAATATCCTAAACCTGTTCGCAATGCTTAATTGGTAAAGGCAGTAAGGTGACTCAAAATGCAGCTAGGTTAATTTGTCACATATGCAATGGCTCAAAATTTAAGCGACTCGTGTACTCAGACATAACTAGCAAGAGAAGGGAAGCTAAATTTGTTGTATTTCCAGAAATTAAAATGCGATCAAAGTGCCAAATTATCGGCTGATTATTATTTGCAATTGCAAGAACATAATGATCGAATCCAAGGAAAACTTGCAATTAATCAGAAACATGAGTACCCTTGCGGAAATCATGCCCATAACCAAAATCACACAGCAAGTGACAAAAACAGAAAGAATCTCAAATCAATGATGTATCGGATACTAATCTGAATGGGGATTGCATTCTTCGGAGTAGAAATGATTCTTCTCAATCAAGGTTCTAACCATCTGATGAGTGAAGGCTGGATCATTGGGGTCGTTGGGTTTGGACTCATCAGCTGATTCCAAAGTACGCGGTCGCGTGCAACAAAAGCCGCCGCAAAAGCCACCACTGGAAACAACCCTTTTACCTGAAGAAGAAGAAGAAGAAGAAGAAGAAGAAGAAGGCGGGTTTGCTCTGGTTTTTGTTCGTTTCTTCCTCCTAAATTTTGTAAATGGGAACAGGAGAATCTGATTTAACTGTAACCCCATGAAATCCCTTTTACAAGTACGCCCATCAAAATCGATTCTTCTAGAGTTGGACACCTATCACAGTCGTCTTCATCGTCACCAACTCCGGCACTATAGGATAAAGCTATATAAGAACGTAATCGCTTCACGGGATAGGAGCGAAAAAAGGAAGAGATATCAAAGACGGTAGTCTAACAAGGGAAGAAGATAGAAATCCGTACAAGCAACATCCATGGAAGCCTATTGGCCTTACGATGAAAATATAATTAAAAAAAAGTGAAGGATTTCGTAATTCAGATGAATAACCTGAGATCGCATAAAAAGGATTTTCAACTTTCGAAAATAAAAGGAATAGGTTTGTTTCGAGGGGTGGCAAACGGGCGGTGAGGATAATTCCTCTCTATCTTCCTACGCATTTAATATTTTTAAATTTATTCCTCGCTCATCATCTATAATAGGTAAAAAAATTTAAATTCACATTTATCTACGCGTTATATTTTTAAATTCATCTTCACATCTACTAATCAATTGAAGACATATTCGATTAGATTCGTTTGACTGTAACCTTAAGTTATACATAAACAATAAATATAAAATAAATATGTCAATTAAGAAATATAATAAAATAAACCAATGATTATCTGAGTTAAGTGTTAACATAGATTTTAAAGTACATAAAACACCATAATAAAAGACATAATTAAAGCCTAGAAACATAAATTTATAATATTCCAAAATTTAATAGGTATTTAGTGTGCGGGCAGATGCGGGAAAGGTAAGGTCTCAAACCCATCACCCGCCAACTACCCGCGACGGGTACCATTTTCTAAATCCACACCAGCCCACTATCCACTAAAATTATACCTATCTCCGTCCCAATTGAAGCAAGTACGGTACGAAATCCACAAAATTATACCCATTTGACATCCCTATTTTCTTCAGCATAAATTGTTTTGTTAATGGGATTTGCTTGCCTGACGGTGCATAGTTCCGAAAGAGTCACTGACAAATTAAAAGCCTTCAGAATTTTACGAACAAACCACTAATTGATTTTGACATATTCTAATGAGATTTAAAAAAATGGAAAATTTAAGATTATCAATTATTAATCTTATAATAATCTCAAAATCAACTAATTCTTCTTATTCTTTGAGGAATATCAACTCATTCTTAGTAACAAAAAGATTGTAAAAAAATTATTAAGAATATGTTAATTTATTTGGGTAAACTATTCATTTAGTACTTAACATATCAGTTTTGGTCCGTTTTAATACTTAAACTTTCAATTTTTTCAAAACCATACATAATGTTTAGTTTTTATTTCATTTTAGTACCAAACCGTTAAAAACTTAACGCGTTTAATACATAAACTATTAGTTTTGATCCGTTTTAGCACCTAAACTTTCATTTTTCAAAACTTAACGTTAAATTTTGAACTGAGTACTAAAATGAATCAAAAACTAAAGTTTTTAACAGTGAAGGTATTAAAATGAAACAAAAACTAAACTTTATGTATGATTTTGAAAAAAATTAAAAAAAATATATACTAAATAGATCAAAACTGATAATTTAGATATTAAATGCGTAATGCAACCAATTTATTTTAATCAAATGCTTATGTTTATGATATATATATATATATATATATATATAAAACAACATTTTAAATGCATTTTGTTTCGAAACTTTTCACCCATAAATTGTTTTAACGGTTTGATTTTTTTCAACGAAACTTTCATAAAAGTTTCGAAACTTTCAAGAACAATGTGTTTAAAAGTTTTGATACTTTCATAAAGTTTCGAAAATGCATGTGCAGGTGGCATTTATTGCATGCTTTTAAAGCTTCTCAACGGCTATAACTCATCTCCAACGGTCATAAACGGCTAGTAACTCATTCCACATAATAAAAACACTCCAAGAACACTTGAGGAAGGTTACTACACCTATCCAAACTTAGACATCAAGAGAAAAGAGTTTTTATTCCTATTTCCTTCATTTTTCTCTTGTACATAAGTGTATAGAGCTTAATTGAATATCTTTTGTTTTTATTCGTGTGAGCTTAAATCTTTGTAAACACCTACCTTGTGATATTTTTTGTTTACATTTCTTATCATTTGTAAAAGATGAGTGGTTATAGATTAACCTTGAAAAACTAGAGAGTTGTAAAGGTTACTCTTGAGCCTAGAAAAAGAAAGAATTTGTTGAAATCCTTAGTGTGGAGCTAAGGTGGTGGATGTAGACTTTGATTGAGAAAGTCTAGCCACTATAAATCTTGTATCAAATCCTTGTCGTTTATTGTTTCCATACCAAAGATTTTTAAATGACAATTCACCCCCTCTTGGCGATTTTCAGTTGATCGATCGAGCCCAACAATTGGTATCAGATCGGGTCACAATTGATGGTTTAACAACATTGTGAAGATCCTAGAAAATATCTATCAATTTCTGACTCAACCGAGAAGATGGTTTTTTCCTTCGGTGCTTACTACATCGAAGATTCTCAACCGATCAACAAGTCACCTATTTCAATAGAGCAAATTATGCATATTGGAAGAATAGGATGATGTTCTTCATTCAAGCCACCAATCTAGATGCTTGGAAATCTTTTCTAATGGGTCATTCTACTCCAACTAGAGATATGGCGGAATTGAGTGAAATAGAGAAGAAAGAGTTCAAACTCAATGCTAAGGCCATGCATATTTTGTTTTGTACATTAGGCCCGGATAAATATGAAGGAGTCTCATCTTGTTCAAATGCGAAGGAGATTTGGGACAAGCTCTAAGTCACTCATGAAGGAACCAATAAAGTGAAGGAGACAAAAATCGGTCTTCTCAACCATAGCTATGAGAATTTTATGATGAAACCGGATGAAGACATCAAAACTATGACGAATAGATTTTTTTATTGTCAATGGTCTCAAGGGATATGGAGATATCATCCCTATTGAGAAGCTTGTTAGGAAGATGATATATTATCTTCCAAAATTTTGGCAATCGAAGAAGAAGACGATCATTGAAGTGAAGAACTTAAAGTCTCTATCGCTTGATGAACTTATTGGCTCCCTTCTCACTCATGAAATGATGGAAAATGAGGAAGAACAAGAAGAAGAGAAGAAAGAATAAAATAAAGAAAAAGGCGTTACCTTGAAATCCTCTACTCAAAATGAAAGCACCTCAAGTGAAGAAAAGGATGAAGAAGAAAAGATAGACAATCTCTTCAAAAGATTCACAAAATTCATGTCTTCCAAAGGAAAAGAAGTGAAACATGAATCAAGTAAGAAGAAATGCCCCCGGTGTGCTTTTAGTGCCAAAGGATGAACATGTCAAGTATGAATGTCATCTCTTAAAGAAGAAGGGATCTAGTAAAAGGAATGCATTTGTGGCGGCTTTAACGATAAAGACAACTCTAATGATGATGAAGTAGTCAATATATACCTCATGGCCATCGAAAAATATTTCATGGTAACTTCTAACTCTTGTGATTTAAATTTTTATTCATTTAAAGAGTTACAAGATGCCTATGATTACTTGTATTTGGAATTTGAGACCATGAATTCCAAATATAAGAAATTAATTTCAAAATTTAAAGTTGAAAATGATTTGACTTTGAAAAACAAAATGAAATTTTGAAAAATGATTTTGAGCTTTCAAAAATCAAAATCAATGATTTAAAAAAAACTTTGATTTGAAAGTTAAACTTGAAAGCTTAACAAAAGAAAAAGAATTAATTTCTCAAAACAATTCATCACGCTTAAAAATGGCAAAATGCTCACATTGTCATTTTCATGGTCACATAGAACTTACATGTCCTTTAAAACTTGGAAAACATTTTAAAATTAGGCAAATATGGTTTCCTAAGGGAACAAAGGACATTAGCACTAACAATCAAGGATCAAAAGTAATTTGGATACCAAAATCCAAATAAATATCTCTTGTAGGTTTGTGGGAGCAATGGTGACAAAAGTGAAGAAATTTAAATGTTCTAGCCACACAAGATGAGGAATCGGTAACCTTTAAACTTAATGTTTTTGATTTTACATTATTGGTTGCCAATTTGTTTTATCTATGTATGAGTTTTTGAACATAAATGATCATTTGTTATTTTTTCAATCTCATGTATGTTAAAATGTGTTATGGTGAACATCTTAAATCTTTTTATGATTTTTCATAAATTTCTTGTTCATCATAATGATTCTTGGTCAAATTTGTTTTTCATGTTGTTTTAAAATATTTTTTTCTTGTTTTTGACCTTAAATTTGAATGTTTATGCATGTGATTTTATTGTAAATGACATCTCTCTAACAATTGATATCAATTTTTTCAAACGCGTAACACTTTTGGATAGCTTTATGCATATGAACTTTAATGTCTGATATTAATACTACATAAAGTAGTTTAGACTTGAATTTAGTGAATTTCATGTGCTACTAATGTGCTTCTCTCTTATTTTATTGAAATTCAGTATTCTTTGAAGTGTCAAAATTTTTTAACCAAAATTTGTTTTTGAAATGCATTTGTTAAGGGGGCATTGATTTTTTGTTGAACCATGTTTTATAATATTTTGATATAACAAATTAAGACAAAATGTTTTTGGACTTGATTGAATTTATTCAAAGTTTTCAAAAATAATTCAAAGTCTAATAAACTAGAATTTGAGCAAAAACAGTTTTTCACGTACGTAGTATCGATATTGTTCTTACAGTATCGATACTATATGAACAATACCGATATTGTTCATGTAGTACCAATACCAAAGGTAAGAGAAGTATCAATACTCTCTAGGTAGTATTGATACTATCAGTTTGCTCAAATTCCATAATGCAAAATATGTACTAATACCCGAAGGGGTACCGATACTACTTTACATTGTAGTATCGATACCATGGGCTTAATATCGATATCGTCAGGCCCAACGACTAGTAATGACTATTTTTATTTAAATATTACAAAGATATTATTGATACTCCCTATAGGATTATCGATACCCTCTGTTCTGGGCAATTTTATTTTGTACAAAATTTCATCCCAACGGCTAGAAACGGCCACAAACACATTCTAATATATAAATACAAGTTGGGGACACTTGAGGAGGGGTTAAAACACTTATCCAAGCAATCAAACACAAGAGAAAAACTTTTCACTCTTTATTTCCTTTCTCTTGTAAATATTTGTGTTTTTGTGCTTAATCTTTATAAACACCTTACCTTGTAGAGGTTTCTTCGTTTACTTCTATTTTCCTTTGTATAGGGTTTTGGTTCTATCTTAGCCAACTGAAAAGATATGGAGTTG